CAACGGCATGGATGGAACTGGAGAGCATTATGCTAAGTGAAATAAGCCAGTCAATGAAGGAAAAATACCACATGATCTCACTTATTCATGGATAATAGAGACCATTATAAACTTTTGAACAATAATATATACAGAGGCAGAGCTGCCTCAAAAAGATTGTCAAACTGCAGCGGGAAGGCTGGGGAGCGTTGGGGGGCAGGGGGTAGGGGGGAAGAGATCAACCAAAGGACTTGTATGCATGCATATAAGTATAACCAATAGACTTAAGACACTGGGGGATAGGGGAGGCTAGGGGACTGTCTAGGGCGGGGGGAAAAATGGACACATATGTAATACCCTTTGTAATACTTTAAGCAATAAAAACAAAATAAAAAATTTAAAAAAATGAAATGTTGCCATCTGCCACAGTATAGATGGACCTGGAAGGTATTATGGAATACAATGCACCTGTAAAAAGAAAAAGAAAAAAAAAGATCTCTTACCATTTGGGACAGCATGGATAGGCCTGGAAAATATTATACTAAGTGAAATAAGCCAATCTGAGAAAGACAAATATCACATGATCTCACTTATTTGTGGAATCTAATGAACAAAATAAATTGACAAACAAAATAAGGCCCAAAGCATGGAGACAAGGAAAGACTGACATACCTGGATGTGGGGTTGGGGAGACAAGAGGAGATAAAACGAAGAACTTTTATACTTATATGCATAGCCCATGGACATGGGCAACAGGGTAGTGAAGATCTGGGAGGTGGATAGGGGCTTAGAGGAGGGGAGAAAATGGGGAATGGGAGATACCTGTAATACTATCAACAATAAAAATATATTAAATAAATAAACAGAAACAAACTCAAAGATACAGAGAACATTTTGATGGTTGCCAGATGGAAGGAGGTTGGGAGGATGCGTGATAATGGGGAAAGGATTAAGATGTGCAAACTGCCAGTTATAAAGACAGTCACAGGGATGTAAGGTACAGTATGGCTAATACAGTCAATAATATGGGTGATAACTATATATGGTGTCAGATGGGTACTAGGCTTAGCAGGGTGATTACCCTATAAGTTATGTTAATATCTGATCAATATGTTGCACATCTGAAACTGATATATTACATGTCAACTGTAATTGAAAAATTAAAATTATTTTTTAAAAGGACTGAATTCATTTAAAAAGTGGATGAATTTCCTTCTTCCCTGAAATCAATTTTTTAAAGTGTTATTGAGCACCTCTTATACTCCAGGTACTGAGGTAATAAGTGATATAAACAGAGATTTTGCCCTTAAGGTGTTTCTAGTCTAGGTTGGAGACAAATATGTAAAATATAAATGCACTGTTATGTTACTATAAAGAAAGAATTCTGTACAAGGCGTTGTGGCACCCAAAGCTAGGAGGGGTGGGTTTACCTTGGGGAAACAGAAAAGGCTTCTCAGGGAAAGTAACTTGAACAGAGTCTTGAAATTTGAGTAGGCAAAGGGAGTAGAGGAGGACTGGGAGAGGGGAGGCATCCTGGGCAAATAGGCAACAAGAGTTTCAGAGAGATGGTAAATTTTAAGGAAATTCATGAGGCTGGGACCAGGAAGAGGTAAGTGATGTGGTGGGAAAGAAACAGGAGGCCCATGAGGAGACACGTGGGGTGTGCTGGGGAGAGATTACAAGGGCCTGCAACAAGGCAGTGTTAGCAGGAATAGAATTGGAGGAGAGTAAGATAGGTGCTAAGGAAGAGGAAGAATCCATTTTCAACTCGTGCTGATAGAAGAATGTGAGAGAGGGCAGAAGAGCAAGAGGGGGAGAAAGCTTGATCCAGTGTGATGCCCTGGTTCCTGGCTCAGGCAACCGGCTATAGGATGGTGTCATTTACTGAGAGGTGGGACTCATAAGGAGTGGAAAGATTGGGGAATAGGATAAACCTGCTCTCTGACAAACCAAGTTTGGGGTGCCTCTTGGAGTTATGATAGAGGGTAGTTTATGGCCCAGTTAATGGTCCACTGCTTTGTATATGAGAAAACATTAATGTCTTGAGTGTCCCTCAAGAAGTTCCTTCTCCTTGTCTATGAGAGGAGTAGAGGTGGTGAAGGGGAGGGACCAAAGTTGAGTCTGGAAAGGGAGGCTGTGGTAACCCACTGTCCCTGGGGGTAGAGTCCTCTGCTGGAAAAACTTAGAGGTGATGATGTAGGGAAAAGCATCGAACCTGGATTCTGCCAATAAAGCTGACCATTAGGAGATGGTGGGGAAAGGAGCTTGGGCAGCCTGACAAAGGGAGAGCTTGGCATACCTGTGCTACAGAATCAACTGGCATACTTAGTCCTAAAACTTCCTGACACAGACAAGCTGCAGGTCTCTAGGGAAGACTCCTTTCATGGGGTCTTAGTCCTCCCTGTAAAATAAGAGAACTTGAACTTGATGTTCTGGTGCTTCCTTCAGTTCAGCCACTGGGACTCAGGTACTGACATGGGCTAATGGCAAGAAAAGACAGTGACTGTCTTTACATTCTTCCCCTTTGCCTTGGCCATGGGGAAGAACGCTTTCAACTCTAACGATGGGTACATTCCTCTTTCCTTAGAAAGGTTCCATTTTTCAGGCTGATTCTACTGGATGGGATCCCAGCCAATGTGATCCAAGGAGAGAAGCAGTACCTGGCTGCACCCCTTGTCATGCTGAAGATGGAAGCCAGTGGGAAGCTGCTACCCATGGTCATCCAGGTGAGGTATCCTGGGTATCCCATTCCCAACACTGCCCCGTGTTCATCCCCAATGTCTGCCAAGGGACAAAGACAGCAGGCTCTGGTCACCCACCCCTGCCTCATTCAGTGACACCTGTCCTTGTATCCAATATCTCCTTTATACCTGACAGCCTACTTACTACTCACCTAAAACTGCCTTTTTGAGAGTCAGAATGTTCTCTGTTGGTTCTCACCATAAGGCTCCTTAATCTCTTTTTGACCTATGATTCTGTGGAATATTCCTTTTTCTTAGACGTATTTTCTCCCTTGGTTTTAATGTTTTCACTCTTACTGTTCTCATCAGTCAGTTGGTAAGAACTGTCATTTATCTCACATGTCCAGCTTTTCCTTCCTATATTACCATCCTAACTCACACCCTCATCAAGTTTCTGTCATACTGGACCAGTGATGGCGAACCTATGACACGCGAACTCATTTTTTTGGTCGGTTTTTCTTTGTTAAATGGCATTTAAACATATAAAATAAATATCAAAAATATAGGTCTTTGTTTTAACATGGTTGCAAATATCAAAAAATTTCTATATGTGACACAGCACCAGAGTTAAGTTAGGGTTTTTCAAAATGCTGACACGCCGAGCTCAAAACGTTCGCCATCACTGGTCTAGACACTTCTAATTCCTCCTGCTTTGAACCTGACCATCGTGGCACTGACACTTCCCCACAACACTTGAGGATGAGTGGAAGGGCCTTCATTCCTCCTCCTATATTATAATCCCTGGAGACAATCTTAGTCACCAGTGTTTCCCCAGAATAATAAGCAGTTTTTAACAGGATGAAGCCAGTGAATGCTTAACTCCTGTTTCAGATCCAGCCTCCCAGCGCCAGCTGCCCCACCCCACCACTGTTCCTGCCCGCAGATCCTCCACTTGCCTGGCTCCTGGCTAAGTCCTGGGTCCGAAGCTCAGATTTCCATGTTCATGAGCTCCAGTATCACTTGCTGCACACTCATCTGCTGGCTGAGGTTATTGCTGTGGCCACCATGAGGTGCCTCCCAGGACTGCACCCTGTCTACAAGGTACATCCTCTACCCTCCATGTCCCACCTCCCTGACATCCCAGAGGAAGGAAACAACGCAACAATTCTCTAGGATTTAAAAAGCATAAGCCACCTGTTTGGGAAGAAGTTAACAAAGCTTCTTCTAATTGAATGAGTGTCCATGTTATTGTAATAAAAAAATCTTTATAGCAATTTGTAAACAGACAAGGGGAAATTATTGTGTCAGGATCTTGCAACTTGTGGCTGGCTGTATTTCTAATTTTAAAATTATTTTGAGATAATCATAGGCTCTCATGCAGTTTGAAGAAATATCAGAGAGGTGCTATCTATTTTACTAAGTTACTTAGCAAATATTCAGCACTTATTGTAAGGCACCTGGTATTCTCCAGCAGAGTCTGCTGTAGAGCAGGAATATAATTTGATAAAAGTATTGCTCTGCTTTCAAAGAGCGAGCATTTAACTTGCAAGACAAATGGTAGAAATGAAAAATAAGCAGAGAACAGAATCTGGAGTTAGAAATCAAAAGAGCAAGCAATAAACACTATATTTTTGATGGAGAATGTTCCACCACAACTTAGAATTCTTTAAGTAGAAGGTCAAAGGGACAAAAGACCAGCCCAAGTGGTTATTTAACCTGCTTAATGAGAGGTGCATGACATGGTAGTAAGATCAATGGAAAGGAAAATGCAAAGACTTTGTGATGAGAGGAAATAGTTGCAGCATGCCTGGGTACAAGACTGGAGAGAAAGCTCAGAGGTCTGAGCTGCTGCAACAACTAGGCCACCCAGTAGTACAGTTGTAGTGATCCAGAAATATTGTAATTTTATACAGTAGTGAGCCTAGAATCTACTGCTAAACAGAAGGCAGCAAAAATAGCCTTTGCTAGCCTAAAAAACATTTCTGAAATCGTGATGACACTAGCAGCAGGAGCAAAAATGGCACAAGCTTATAAACCAGAACAATTGTCAGGAAAAATACATTCAGCAGAAGCCCATTTTGAAGTCAAAGATGTTATGTTCAGTTTTAGGTACATGGAGTTTGTAGTGGTAGCAAGATATGTGAGTACATGCTATGTAGACCAAGCATGTCAAATTCAAAGGCTAACACGGGCCAAATAAACAAGGTTTAAGTTTATGTGGGCTGCAAAAAAAAACAAAAAACAAGAAAAACAAAAGCTTTAATTTTCATAGAAATGTAGATTTATTTCAAATAGTATAGTATAAAAAAAAAAGCAATGATATAATTAATGTTTTCTTCCTGACACTTGACATCTCTTCTCTGCTACTATCTTTCCTACTTCGGGGGAAATCTTGTTTGCAGTGATTATTTTCAAAACTGACCCAAGGTGAATATCACTAATTCTGGATCTGACAGGAGACTTATTTCCTTTCATAACTGTAAATAACTGCTCACACAGATAAGTACTTCCAAACATGGAAATAATTTCATATGCGAATTTTCGAGTATTTTCAAACCTGGCAGGTAAATATTTGTAAAATTCAGGCACGCCAACTTCACTGAATTTTGCCTTCAAATCTGAATTGCACTGGATCTCAATTACCTCCATTTGCATTTGATTAGGTACTAAGTCTATATATTTATTGAAAATTGAAGAAAACAAAGAAAACTTGTCCTCCAAAAATTTAAAATCTGCAAACCTTGTTTCAAATTCAGTTCTAAGGCTTAAAATTTTTTCTGCGTATTTTTGATATGACGCAGTTTCACCTAAACTTGATTTGTTCATGTTGCATGTTGGAAAGTGCGTTAAATCTTCATTTTTCAACTGCTTTTCCCAAAGAACTAGCTTACATTTAAATGCTTTGACTTGGTCACACATGTTTGTAATAATCTGATCTCTTCCTTGCAATTTTAAGTTTAAATCATATAAATGTTTTGTGATATCAACCATGAAGGATAAATCCTGCAACCATATTGTGTCAAAAAATAGGCTTGTGTCTTGATTTTTAGTTATTAAGAACTGACATATTTCTTCTTTCAAGTCCCAGAATTGTTTAAGAACCTTGGAGCAGGATAGCCAACGTACCTCATAGTAGCACAAGCCGGAATATTCGCTGTACTAATTTACTTAAGAAAGCAGAGAACTGTGGCTGATTAAAGCTTCGAGATCTTATGAAATTGATAATTTTTTTTTAA